GGGGGGGGGGTGTGGACAGTCCAAAACAGCTGAGCCCCATTTATAGAGAGACTGCGATGCTTTGTGAGAATAGTAAGAGTATGTGTGTGCTGTCCTCATTAATGGCCGGGATACCCGGCCGATGGTAAATCAAGGGCAGTGGCTGCAAGGTGCTGTTGTGTGAAATGTCTGGTCAGTCGGGAGCCCCCTCACAGACCCCCCATCTGTGTCAGACTGTGTAAATCATGTCCGCTCAGGGGTATCTGACTGAGGCGGAAATCCAATAACTCAGTGACAGCAGCTGGGGTATGGGCTCCCACGCTTGGGGTCAGGCTGCCCTCCCCGGTCCCTCACTCCCAGGCTTGTTAGGGAGAGCCAGGCCTGGCGCCCGCTCACACGTCCGATGGGGCCCCATGAGTGATGGAGCATGCCGTATGACTGCCCCCAGCGGGGAGGCGGGGTGGGGCACTGATATGGAGCCTGTCACTGATGAGGAATCGCTGCTCCATCTCCCAAACAGCCGTCCCTGGCTCGTCACGCCCCATGAATCCCTTCTCCTCCTCGGGAAGTCCTTCCTGGGCTCAGCGGCCCTAAATCCCCCCTCCCCCCCCCCAGGACTTATCTGCAATCCGGTCTAGACCTGCTCTCCTTGGTCACCTACTGCCCTGGACATCAAACCAAACGTCCTGTTATTATCTTCAGTGTCTGCAGCTGTAACCCCCTGGGGGTGTGACCCGCAGGCTGCTCACCCACGGCTAAAGTTCTGTCCCACCCCCTACCCCCCCCCAGAACCCACAGGACTGCAGCAAAGCTCGCAAGCTGGTCTGCAACATCAACAAGGGCTGCGGCTATGGCTGCCAGCTGCACCACGTGGTCTACTGCTTCATGATCGCCTATGGAACGCGGCGCACCCTCATCCTGGAGTCACACAACTGGCGCTACGCCACCGGCGGCTGGGAGACCGTGTTCCGGCCCGTCAGCGACACCTGCACGGACCGCACTGGTTCTTCCACGGGCCATTGGTCTGGTAAGTCCCCCCCCCCGGACCCCCACAGACCTTCTGGACAAGCCCGGTGTCACCTGAAGCGAGTCACCTTGGCGCTCGGGCTGACTGTGACTGTCCTCCTGCTGTGGCTCCTGCTCCCTGGCTCTGTGCTTTTGTGCAGGAGGTCTGTAAACCTCTCTCCCCTGATCAGAAGGAGACTCACCCGTGAAATTGAGCCGGATATTCAATACTGGGGCCAGAAATGGAAATGGTCAGTCGGGAGTATGGCGGGGGGGGGGGGTCACATAGGATCGCGAGACGTTGACAGAGGATAAAGATGTGAAGATATCAAGAAAGCTCATGGCTTCATCTCTTTGTGGGGGGGGGATGCAAAGCAGACACCCCCCCATTTTTTTTCGGGGGGGGAGGGGTCCACATTGCCCGTCCTTCTGGCTCAGTGGGAGAGGGATGACCCCCATGCTCCTCATGGGCTGATGAGGGTGAGTGTTATAGTGAGGCAGAGACCCTCCCCTCATCATACTGAAGCCACCTGAGGTGGGGGGTTCAGCTCTGTTAGCAGTGTTTATTGGGCAGCTTTTTTCACATGCTTGTGAAGAGGGCCAGTAACCCTGTGTGTGCTCTCCTGTTCGGGGTGTGCGTCTGAATATCTGTTTGTTTGCAGGCTTGTTTGCTTGCTTTTTTGTTTGAGGATTGACCCCCCATACATAATGCATGACAAAGATGCACTGACACGACCCCAGAGCAGTATCCAGATAAGTCCCACCCCCTCACCCCCTCCCCCATCCCTGTGCCCCCCGTCCACAAGTCAAATTTCATTGCCGAGACAGAAATAGAGGAGAGCTAAATGTCCTGCCTCTGGAACCTCTCCTGTCTTTACGTCTAAAACGCTGAATCACCCATCCAGTCAGCAGACAATGGATTCATATATTTATTAAAATTGACCAAACAATATGGCTGTTCTTGTGTTAACAATTTTATGAGTTGCTCAGTTAAATACTGCCCCCTACAGGTGAAGATAATGACCGGAACGTGCAGGTGATAGAGCTGCCCATTGTGGACAGCCTGCACCCACGGCCTCCCTACCTGCCCCTGGCCATCCCCGAAGACCTGGCCGACCGGCTGCACCGTCTCCACGGCGACCCGTCCGTCTGGTGGGTCTCACAGTTTGTGAAATACCTGAACCGGCCTCAGGCCTGGCTGGAGAAGGAGATCCAGGAGACTACCAAGAAGCTGGGCTTCAAGCATCCCATCGTCGGGTGAGAATTCCCCCCCCCCACCCCCCCATTAATAGCCAGGCAGGGTGTGGGGCCTCTGCCTCCTTCAGTGTCACGGCTATATGAAATTCTGTCATTTCAGCCAAAAAACCCTTTAACATTATACCCCCCCCCCCTGTTCCTCCATGAAGCGTTGGGTTATTAACCCTCTAAAAGCACATGTCCGTTTCCTCACCCGACATACATTTTTGTGACACCTCTGGAATTAATTTAGCCCCAGATCTGATTCCAGGTCCCACTTATAATAGGAGTCATTTTTCTGGACCGAAAACAATAAAATGAGGCAAAAAAAACACATAAATACCAAGAGAGTGTTTTGCATGACTATGAAGTCTGTTTAAAGGTATATATTATGTGACTCAGAGTGACAGTTTCGTCATTGTAATGGAGTCTCTTTCCAGCCACTTTTGTTCCGGGTTGAAATGTATTCAGTCTGAAGTTTTCATTTCAACTTTCAGATCATTTCCATGACATAATGGGGTTAGGGAAGAGGGTGACGGTGTAATTGAAGGTACCTCATTATTAGTACCATCTTCTGCTTTTTACTTAAAGCACATGTTGCCTAAAACGGATAAATGTTTGTTTATTTGTTTATGATTTGACGAGGCCATTTGCTTTGCAGATCAGTTCCCAGACCAACCCAAGGTGCACGGTTGCACACCAGTAGAAATTAATGAAACCCCCCAAAAATTAATTCCTGAAGTAAAATGAAATAAAGCAATAACTAAAGATGTACTATCGGTATTAATTCGTTTTTATATTCATGTCATGAATATCTCATAGGTCACAACAATGGCTGCTGATTTCTCACAGCTGATCGGCTGAATCAGTCTGCTGCAACTGAATTAGCATTTAGCGCAGTGTGGAAAATGTGCAGTGTGGGGAGGTGTCTTATTCGCTGTACCCCCCAGCTTCAAGGTGACATTGCTGGGGGTGAGACGGGCACTCTTATGCTTCTGACACGTAGACTAAAGTAACCCGAAATCGTGTTATTTTACAATGCGATTTAAAAAAGAAAAGCTAACAGCCATGCAACAAATTGATTTGAATTTGCAAAACTTCCCTGCAGTTGTTCGGGTTCCCATAGTAACTGGCTGAACTGCGAAGGCATCGCTTCAAACCGCATAACGACACGGAAAGGCCCGGCGGCGGATAGCTCTCCCCCATCCCGGGAGCAAACGACTTGACGCTGTTCCCCATGCGTTTGGACTGAATCTCTGAGAATCAACTCTGGCATTCTCAACGGAGCTCAGTCTGGGTTGGGGGGTGGCTGGCGGTGGCGGGGGGGGGAGGGCTCCCCGTGATCTCACTGTACTTGCAGCCCTACAGAAAAGGCCCCCGGCATCCGTGCGGGTATTGATTATTTCTGCCTGGCTGTAAGTAGCCCAGCACACCTCGGGTTTGCCAGGAATAGCCGACTTGGCTCTGGGGGGAAAAAAATGGAAACAAGTAATGTAAGTGTGGGAACAGCGATGCAGTAGGGGGCGGACATGTGGGGGGGGGACACGGAGTCCCGCTTATGGAAGACCAGTGAGAGTCCCCCACCCCCCCCCCCCCCCCAGCGTGCCCCCACCCTCCCTCTCCTCCTCCAGTCTCGCTCGGTCCCGCGGCCAATGCCTCCGGCTCCACATTTCAATTTGAGTTTAATTTACAAAGGAAATAAAGGCGCTTGTTGCTCGGCTGAGCGTCCCGGGGAGCCGCTGCCTGATCACACGCGCCCACACACACGCTCATGCTCCCACGCACACACACGCATCCCCCGGTCCTTCAGGCCCACACAGGTACTGCTTAATAAGCCCACAACCCACCCTCCCTGCACAAGTGGGGGCCATCGGACCGCTCACTTCTCTAATTCCCCTGCCTGAATTGCACAGCGATTGTGGAATCAGTGTGCAAGACAACACGTCTGTCTACAAACCAGTGTACTGTGACAGGCAGGGTTGAGGGTTCGATTCATGCCATGTTGTTCCCATGTCCTGGATGCTCCGTGTTTCTGAGGGAATGTCCTCATCCGAGTGCCCAGCAATGAGCAATGGATTAGTGTCCCATCCGGGGTCTGCACAGACAGTGAGCCCCCCATCCGGGGTCTGCACAGACAGTGGGGCCCCCCATGCGGGGTCTGCACAGACAGTGGGCCCCCCATGCGGGGTCTGCACAGACAGTGGGGCCCCCCATGCGGGGTCTGCACAGACAGTGGGCCCCCCATCCTGCATACACGCTTGCCAAAGTGTGTCTCTTACTTGTTAAACAAGCCCGTTCTGCAGTTTACCTGCCATGAATGTTAACGCAGTGGCAAAATACAACTGGGTATCATCCTCTCCGATGTACATCTATTGTAGGCGCCATTGAATCACCCTAGTAGGTGTTTTGACACATTCAGGATTACTGTAATTCTCGATCTGACGGCACTGCTGCTGTACAGAGCACAGGAAATGGTAGCAGCCAATTTCGAGAGAGATTTGTGTCTTTACATAGATGCTTCTGTGCGACGGAGTGGGCGGGGCGTCGGCGGTGAGGACGTCTCGTTCGAGAGCACGTCAACGCAAATGGAAAACAGCAGGAGCCCAACTTAGATCATAACAAAGGAAATGCTTTCTGTACTCAGAGGTAGCTGGCGTATTGTTGGAAATATTTCCCATTAATGTGGCAGAGGAACAGCCTTTAAATACACCGAAGATAACTGTAGATGAATGTAGATTTTTGTTATAGTCAGGGAGCGGGACGGGGGACCAGGGCGGACTGAGTGTATTCTTTTAGGTACATAATGTTCCCGTTTGACACCTCTATGTGATACATGGCCTGTAATGGCCTTGGAGAGACAAGCAGTCTCTATTGAACGGAATCAATACCGTCCAGTGAGAAGGACTGAAATCGATGTCAGCATGGGATCAGGAAGCCACGCTGCTGCTTGACTGTGTCTCTGAGTAAATTCTTCTGGCTTCTGATTGGTTTTTAATTCTTACACTTAAAAGGTTGTCGGTGCTCAAGAAAGACATCAAGGTGTAGGTACAGGTCTCGCAAAACCCCGGGGGAACCCACAGCACAGGACCCCCTCTCATTCTCCTGGTTTGACTCTTCAGTCCTCTGTTACTGGGATGTGTATGGATGTATGGTACCATATGTGTGAGGTCAGTCCTTTGGTTTGCAGAGAGTAATGTGGCATCGTTGCATTACACCTCAGGCACATGGAGTAGGTTTGAGGTGCTCTGAGTGGAGTACTGCTTTTAAGCAAGGATGGGAACCAGTACTAGCCACAACCGAATCAGAACTCCATCTGACCTCTGTTGGTACATGGGGGGTGGGATCAGATCACAACTCAGATGGTGACTTTTTTCCCCCACCTGTTTATATGGCTGAATGTTTCGGTTAAGTGCTTTTTTCCGATTTTTTTGTCTAAGATTTTAACTGCCCAAGCCCTTAACCACTATGCCCCCTGCTGGTACCCTTTGGTAAGACGCTGTGTACCATTTATTTGTAAAACTTCTCATTTCTGATTCTGTGTTGCACGGTATCAGTGCTCTCCAGTGTCATCGGTCAATGTGACTGAGAGAAAGATCCCTTGGCATGCTGGGTAATGGCTGGAGAGTCCTTTACATGCACAACAGGGTGGAGTTGGGGGTCCAGCAGTTACTGCAGCTGCCTCTCTCTGCCTCAGATGGATTTACTGTCTTCACACACAGAAGTATAGTGGGCCCTCTTCCTGCGTCACACCGTCCCGCTCTCTCTGTGACACACAAATGCTGCCCGCCTGTCACAGACATCGTGGGAGTGTGGGGGTACCTAATTCTGTCAGTCACACAGGATCGTGATGCCACCGACTTTCCTTCCTGTAGAGTACACGTGCGTCGCACAGACAAGGTAGGCACGGAGGCGGCGTTCCACCCCATCGAGGAGTACATGGTGCACGTGGAGGAGCAGTTTGAGCACCTGGCCCGGCGGATGCGTGTGGACAGGAAGCGTGTGTACCTGGCCACGGACGACCCCTCCCTGCTGCAGGAAGCCAAGAGCAAGTGCGTGCAAGAGCAAGTCCCCTGTGAGGTCTGCAGCATGCCTGCTGGAGGGGTGTGAGTGCTGAGTTCAGTGTGTCTGTGTCTATAGGTACCAGGACTACGAGTTCATCAGCGACAACTCCATCTCCTGGTCTGCTGGGCTGCCCAATCGCTACACAGAGAACTCGCTGAGGGGCGTGATCCTCGACATCCACTTCCTGTCCCAGACCGACTTCCTGGTCTGCACCTTCTCATCCCAGGTATGCTGTGCTGTTTGAGTGCTTGGCATCCAGCTGTGGGATAGGGGAGCTCTGATGCAGGGGCAGTGCTGGCCTAATGGTTAGTGAAGCGTGCTTGTGATTGGAACGTTGCTGGTTCAAATCTCTGCCATGTCGCATATGGGTTAAATGCAGAGGACGCATTTCGTCGTTGTGTGCTGTGGTGTGTCAACAATGACAATCACTTTTTTGTAATGCAGTGGTTTTCAACCTGTGTGCAAAATTTTCTGAATATGCAATTTGTTGGTGAATTCTATTGATTGTATCGATTGTGGAAATTTAATGTGGGGACCCCCCCTTCCCCCATTTGCAAAAGTCATCAGTAGCAATTAGGGATGTAACAATACACTCAACTCACGATTCGATACGATTCACGATTCTGAGTTCACGATATGATTTTTTCAGGATTCTTTAACAGAATCGGCTGCAAACAAATTCATTCAAAAATATTCCTTTATCTTTCTAAAATGTGCAAAATGTGTCCTCTTCATAACAGTGCAACTGAAATTGAATAAAATACTGTTTTAAAAAAAATTTCAAATCAAAATAAATAAATAAATGGTAACGCTTTACATTAACTGCACCTTCATAAAGCTTCTATATTGCATTCGTAAAACGTTCAGTACACCTTCATAATGTATTCATTAAGTATTCAGAAATCATTCATAAACATCATGCATGTATACCTTTACATCCTAACATCCCTTAATAGCTGTAAAATACATTAATAACAAACATTATATAATAATAACAAACATTATAATTGTATAATCATGTAATGTTTGTTATTAATGTATATTACAGCTGTTAAGGGATGTTAGGATGTTACGGTGTACTTGCATGCTGCTTATGAATGTTCTTTGAATCCATTATGAAGGTGCACTTAAAATAAAGCGTTACTAAATAAACTAAGGCTTGCATGTGCAGCTTTTTAGCGTGGTTTGTCCTTTTAATAATCTTCGCTCTGGCGGTGGTGAATTGAGCTCACTGTGGGGCTGGTGGACATGCTGAAGCATGTTCGTTGTGCTAATTTGTGTATGTTATCAGTTTTTGGGATCAATGCTTGCACGCATTTTTTGTCTTGTCTGTGCTTTTCTCGCCATTTTTGTTTGTGATTACCGGAAAGCTAAAATGCTGCCACACCGCCAATTTAAGATTGGGGGGTATGTCCTCAATTTCAAGTTTGCTCGCCATCTTGCGTTCGGTCAAAACCAAAAAGTAATGTACCACGTCGATGTGAATACACAGTGACATCTGACGTCGAACTGACATCATGAAATCAAATGTAATATTACACCAGTTAAGTACTCCTAAAGTAGCGATTCATTTTCCACATCAGCCAGTTTAAATCGTCATTCATTTACATCGATTTTTAACCGATTCACGATTCATCCTTACATGCCTAGTAGCAATACATTAACAAATTTTATTGGTTGGTGAAATTTATTGTAGGGGGGGGAAAGGGTCACAAGACATCACCAATGTTTTTTGGAGCATCTCCAGACAAAAAGAAACACTGGTCTAAGGAGACCTGAAGCACTTGTAAACTTTCCTTCTGGCTGAAACCTTCAACTGGAAAATTCTGGAAGTAAATCTTAGTGATTAGTAGGCATTGAATATGACGATTCTGCCACATGAGTAGCCTAGAGGAGTACAACCCCACAGCAACATGCTCCACCATGAGTCAGGTTTAAGATTATGACTTATTCTTCGGGGGGGGGATCCCATGCTCATGGCTGCTGATGTCATCGTGCAGGTGTGCCGCGTGGCCTACGAGATCATGCAGACCCTCCATCCGGATGCCTCCTCCTACTTCTACTCGCTCGACGACATCTACTATTTCGGAGGCCAGAACGCACACAACCAGATAGCCATATACCCGCACGAGCCGCGCGGCGCCGAGGACATCCCGCTGCGGCCCGGCGACGTCATCGGTGTGGCCGGCAACCACTGGGATGGCTACTCCAAGGGCCTGAACCGCAAGATAGGCCGCACGGGCCTCTATCCCTCCTACAAGGTAAAGGAGAAGATCGAAACAGTGAAGTACCCCACGTACCCCGAGGCAGACAAACTGCTCCACCTCTAATGGGGGCGGGGCCACGCTTCAGCCTGCACGCTCCCACGGGGAAGCGAGAGACCGCTGCATCCTGAACCGAACGGACAGGATGTTACTGCGGTTTTGTGTGGGGGTGGGAGGGGGTGTTCCTGGCCCCAGCACACAGCAGCCCCTGACCGAGATCCCTCCTCCAGCAATGTCAGGGTTGTGAACAAAAGGGAAGGACTAAACATCTGGCCAGACCAGCCAATCTCATGAAGGAATTGCTCTCCCAAGGAAAGTAGGATGGACTTTAGATCCAATTAGAGAACTGAGCAGGAAGGAATGTTATTTATTTGTGTGTGTGTGTGTGTGTGTGTGTGTGTGTGTGCGCGCACGCGTGCACGGGCGGGTGTTATTTTAATATCCTCCTGCACTGACCTTTTTTTGACCACTCGTGCTCATTGAATGTAACTTCCTCTTGTCAAACTTCCTGACTTCCTCCACTGACCGCCATACCCCCCCCCCCCCCGCCCATCCCGCCCCTCCGAACAGGGAAGTTGTGCTGTTCACTCCAAGCCTCCAAGCTCTCACTTGTACTTATGTTCACAAATGTCACATGACGCTGTTCCCCTCTAACTTTATGTGTCTGAGTGCGTGTGCGTGTGCTGCGGTGGGTGGGGGGGGGGGTTACACACGGGTTTAAAAGCAGGGTTCCCATGAAGGAAATGGCCTCTTTCTTCCTTCTCTCTGTTGCAATCTTATCCTCTCTGAGGGCGACAGGGGGACCTCCAGGCCCCCGGACTAATGCGGGCGCCACAGACTACGCCCCCTTCTGGGCACAATGAACAAAGCACTCAAACATCCTGCCAGCCCCTTGTCTGTTTATCTAAATGTCTCCTCGTTTGTTTTTTTTTTTTAACTTTTTAACATATAGAAACAGCAAAGGCACCCAAATTACAAGTGGTAGTAATGTTAATAATGATGATGATCCTCTCTGTCATGCCATACTGTACTCTAGTGCATCCTGGAGGGATTTTCTGTTTCTGGGCATCGTCTTTGATAAACACGGATGAAATAAATCTGAAATCCACCTGTCTTTGTGTCCCTCTGTGTTCCCGACCCCTAGCATCCATTACCCCCCACCCCGCACCCCGCACAGCTAGTGATCTTTCTCCATTGGCTCAGAATCAATGCTATCACAAACACGCAGGAAACCGTCACCCAGAGCGACCGGGGCTGAGCCTTGTTCCCATGATGCCTAGCATGAGCTCCATGAAGCCAAGAGCTCACGGCACGCCCGCTCTGGAATGCACTGGCCACCTGCAGACACGCCTCTCGGAGCTGTAGCTTCATGGGTTGCTGCAGTGACTGTGGGTCCTTGGCTTGTTTTTACCCGTCGCTGTGCGGTGGCAATGTTTTTGGGAGCAAAAATAACAGACACCGTGACTGTAAGCACCAGCCTAGTGCATGAGGTTTATAAATGAGATTTTTTTGTCACCCCATTAGGTTACTCAGAAATGCTTGGTGGGATATTTCATCTTTCTTTACATATGCACAATAATATCCCCGCTCATACACACACACACACACATATACTCTGTTGCACACCAGTGCTGTATTCCTTTTACCTCGGAGGTCGGGGAAATGACATCGCACATGAGTTAATAGCATTTCAGCACAGTCGGAAAGCCATGTAGCAGTACCAGGGACCCATTTCCAAAAGCTAGATTTCTTTCTTACTCGGATAACTTGTTGGATTTAATTCACCCCAGTTTAAATGGCCTATATCTTCGTTCACTTACATTTAGCACAGACTACATTAAATCCGACAAGTTGTCTGCTTAAGCAAGAAATCCTGCTTAATGAAACAAGCCCCAGTTTTTTAATTGTAAGCCACTTATCAATAACAGTGGATAACGCCAAATTACGCGGTATTTTGCGCATAAAACACCATAGCAACACGTTCACAGATAGCAAATGGACATTACTGTGTATACGACTGATTTAATGAGCCACAAATAAGCCTCAAGTGCTAATAAACAGTATAAAATTACAGCTTTCACTTCTGTTGGTGAAGGCCACGGCCATCTTTAATTCTGAGCTTGGGAGTATGTAGGTTCTTCTGAGTCAGAATTCCGACTTCAGGGGGTGTTCCGGTTGAAATTTCCGACTAGGAACTCGGAATTTAAGAATCAACCCAACCCGAAGCGGCTCTGTCCACGCCTCAGCAACCCCCCCGGGGCATTCTAAAGGCATGAGATAACCAGAGGGTCCTTTAATTAAGGTGCCCCCGCAGACTCCACAGCGCCCTCTGACAGCCCTTTAAAAAGAATACACCACCTCTGCTGATTATTCCGCTAATTGGCCGGCGATTCCCAGCGGAGCTTTGATTGTTCACGTGCCGATTCCATTTTCCCACGCAGAAACGGAGCTGGGGAGAACCCGACGTGCGTGCCAGCCCGGTTCTGGTTCCTTAAACCAAGCAAAAAAAAAAATACACAACCACATACTGTATGAAGTCTCCTGACGCTGACAGTGACACAAATGAGTAGTGAGACCTTAATTAATTGGTTACAAGCCTACGTCGCTAGCCCTTAACGTACCATCGGAAAAGCACAATTAGTTTAAGGTGCAATTTCTGACTTGACATACTTTAATACTTTAATTTATTGAATATGGCTGGGATGTCACAGGCATCTCTGGACAGTTCATAACAATTAATGAAGGGGAAATGATTGGAATAGATCAAGTGGTCACTCTACTTATTAGAATAAAGTGAGAGATTTAGCTAAGCTGTGAACATAAATAATAGAGGATGGCGAACCGCATGCAAGGGGACATGCCATCCCTTGCGGAAGGTGAATACACGCTTTCACACGCTGTAATCTGCAGCCCTCCTTAAAACGAAACGCAGAGAAGGGCAGAGCTGTCCTGCGAAAACAATCTCTGCAGTTGCACTCTTTTTTTTTTTTTCCAGTTCAATATCTGTTTCTGCCCACGTTCCTTTTTACAGTTTATCTCATGATGGGAAATGCTACCAGAGGAATATATATATAGGTATCCGATCTCACGAAATGTAATCTTTCAGCCGAAAGACATGCAGTTTTGTCGGTAACGTCCTGATAGGGAGGATGTTTGTGTAGGTAGGTAGCAGTGAGGCCCCTCATCTCACTTCTGCCCAGTCAACACACAACACGATGTAATCATGTAAGGGTGCAAGGAACCCCCTCCCTCACTTTATGCATTTCTCAGATTTTTTTACAGTATAAATTAAATGTATTTCACATTTGTCACTTGGGGGCCCTTTCATTCATACCAGTTTGATTTTTTTAATGACATCATCATCCCAAACTCATCTCTCTTCACTGGTCACCCCAACAACCCCCCGCCCCGCTACCCCTACACCCCAACAGCCGTTCTAGTCACATGACTTCTCCCTCTTGGTCATGTGACCTCTTCCTAATGACATCACCCATGGCCTGATGGCTGGGACAGTGATGTCCCCAGGAGGTCCCTCCCTCTTGCCCGGCGCCACTACACAGCATGATGACCATTACCGCTTAGCCGCGTCTGTGGGAGATAAAGCGTGATTTAGGGTGCTGCGCGTCTGGAGAGAAGAAGGATGATACTGGCAGCCCTTATCTCTGCAGCGGCCATATTTCCTCCTACTTTTACATAAAGCTTCTCATTCAGTGCCATCTGTCTTCTCAGTCAGCGTTTAATAGACGCCCTGGCAGGGCACTCGTCACGCCCAGGAGCTGCTCTCGGCCCCCGTACTGTCATCCCTGTTAGCCAACAGCTCTCCGGCTTCATCCGACACCCCACTCAGGCCTCTGGCTCTTTGGCGTGGCCCCTGTCCCCGGCTAGCAGGTCGGGAGATGTAGTGGCAGGCCTAGGGACGTCCACACTGCTGCGCCGTGGTTTGGAAGCCGGTCCCAGGCCTGCCCATGCTCTGGGCTTCGATGCTTGACTTCCCTTCATGCCGTGGAGAGGAATCGTGATTCTGGAGGAAGCAGACACTGGAAAGAGAAGGAAGGGCTGATACCTATTCATACTTCTCTCTTTTTAACGTACAATGATACAGTGAATCTGAAAACTGAATGCAATTATGCAGGGATACAAAGCTTCATAACATGAAACTGCCATTCGCATATGGGAATAATTTATAGCGGCCGATTGGCTAAAACGGGGGAACTCCATTATAGAGCTGCAATTATATTTCACTCTGAATAGAAGCGGCAGTCGCTCAGGTGCAGAAGTTTCTGGGCAGGGTTTAGTCAGATGTCAACCATGGTTAGATAACACTGAATAACTTCATGATTAAGCTGAATATATGGCGCATATACAGAGGTATCCTGGAACCTGAACTTAATTTGTTCCAGAAGGCTGGTCGAAATGCGATTTGGTCGAGGTCCAAGTCAAATTTCCCCATAAGAAATAACGTAAATGACTTTAATCTGTTCCAGACCCTCAAATGATTGCCTATTTAAACTTATCTACCTATCTGACTAATAATAAAAAGCATTAAGAATCAATATAAAACTAATACACACATGAAAAAGGAGACATACAAAAGCAATAAACATGGGATTAATGACAATCCCACACTCCAAAGCAAGAGCAGACACGTGCACCACCTTCAAGACTCGCTATAATCTCCTTCTTAAGTTCTACAGTTACTTTCACCACTTTCCTCTTTGGTTTGCTGTTATTACTGCTCACTTTCTTAGGGGGCATGATTACTGTATCACTAAATGTACTGCAGATAAAGCACAAAAAAATTCGCACTGAACACAGGAACACTGCTTTTGCATGTCGAATTTAGTCAAGAGGTACCGTGAGACTGACAGTGATAGGCATCAGTTTCCCAATAGGTCCATCTGCTTTTGTTTCAGCCCATCAGAGATGCATCTGGATCCGTAAAAGTTTTAGCAGGTCTGTTTTGTTTTGTCATGTTCCGAGTTTTCGGTTGAGTTGCGGTTAGATTCGAGGTCCAAATCAGCAGAATTGAATCCATCTCGCCTCATATAAGTTTTACCAGGAACGGTCGAGTTCTAAGATTTGGGTCAAGTTGAAAAAAATTCAGCAGACCTGTTCAATGTCAGAATGGGTCGAGTTAAGAGGCGTTCGAGATCCAAGTTTCTACTGTATACAGATTCTATGTCGTCCTGCAGTGTTTTGACCCGCCTTGTATTTACATCGAAACACTGAACACTGAAGCCATTTTAGTCACACTGTGTCCTCTAATTATGTTCTCTGACATCTTAATGTGTGCACAATGAACTGCAGGATGGAGAATGGAGTGCCCGGCTCACGCCTGGGGGGAGGGGGAGCTCTTATAAGCCGGCCCCCTCCTCTCCACGCGATGCCGAGCGATGACCCCAGCACGTCAACGCGCCATTGTTCCCGGTGATCGGCCGGGGCCAGAAAGCCCCCGTTTAATTAAATGCGCTTCAGAGGTTAATAAGTTGCTTTCTTCCCTGTTTCCTTGGTGACTTACCGCTGCGTCTTTATTAAACTGCCGAGCTGCCTCTCGGCAAGCTGCATTCCTGCTAGGGACTTCAAGTTCGTTTGGAAGATGAACTACGAGCATGTCACAGCTTTCATCTGCTAATCAGTTTTGCGAAGGCTCCCATCACCAATACGAGGCTTCAGGATGGATCCACCACACACTTCTGTCCTGTGTCCGGCCCAGCTGTCCATCCACAGCCTGTCACTCCTCCTATGCATTGCCAGGATTGTTCTGTCCCCCGTGGGATCGGGATGCCAAGTGCTGGGCAGGTTTCGAGGCGCCCTGCCTTCAGGTTGCCGTGCTGACAGGCCTTGTCATCCCTTTGCCGTTTTCGGAGCATGAAATGTGACAACAGCGTACTTGGAGAAACAGTGTCATGTCGAGTAGGTTACTGTCACATTAGACTGCAGTGTGAGTCCAGGCTTTCACTTCTCGTGCTGAGCCCCTAGAGAGGGCTGGCGAATCAGCAGAGTTTTTGGCCAGGGGTGGGGGCGTGGGGTCAGTTGGGAAGTGGCAACCTCACATCCCAATAACATAAAGGTAAGACATGACTTCATTTTACCTGGGATCCCTGTTTATCAG